GGGTTACTTTTTAGAAGAAGGAGGGAGGGGTGTATTGTGTTGGATGGGGGTAAACTTTTCAATTTTCTTGCCATGTTTTTCTATTTAATTACGGAATTTTAGGCATAATTGCAAGTAACCCCAAATTGAGCCTGATTCATGATGGTAGCCTTAAAACCTGCTTCTAGCTTGAGAAGTTTAAAATTCTAGTTATATGTACAGGTTTACCCACAAAGGATGAGACTTCAGAGACTACTGTAGTCAATTTATACTTTCTGTATCTTTATATTCATGATTCCCATCAACTGTAAACTTGCTTTATTCTTTGCCAAATCATTAAATAAGCCATTAAAATACCAAATATTAGACAGAAGACTTAATTTGAACTTGGAATCGTCATAATTTAAGAGTTTTTGGTCGTCTTTGCAGTCTCATCTTTTGTGGGTAACCCTATAGTAGAAATCCGCAATTAACTTTAACAGAGAAACAAATATCTATTTATGCGGAATAACATCATGGGATTAAAAAACTTAAATTTAAACCTTAAACTCACAAACAAATCATATTTTCCCACCATATTCATTATTTTTATAGTTGGTCTGCCTCGTGAGCGAATTTGGAATCTGGTGGGCAGGAAGAGGTTGACCTGCCTCCTCTATATTCTCTGCTATATCTGGTTTGTCAATGGTGCAACATATTACGGGTTAACACTAGCATCTGGGGATATAGGTAATTACTTAATATTCTAATCTAACTTGAAGTTTTAATTTTGTTCTCATATCTTATACAAATTCTGTGCTAAAAACTAACTTAAAGAAGAAAACATTTTTATATTTTATATTTTATTGAGACGTAAAATCAAGTAACTCTTCATTTATAGAATGGCATGCCTGATTCACAACGGTGCCCTTAAAAGCTTTGTTCAATCAAGAATGATATCCATGCTTTCTCGTTAAAAATTGGTTATTTTCGCATGAGGTTTCTCTATAAAAAGTGGCTTGATGATTTCTTGCTGCATGAACTTGAAATTGCAACAATAGCCCATCTGTACAGGAACTGATCTGTATACTGGAATGGTACTGGGGGGCCTCGCTGAGCTTCCAGCCCTTGTCCTCTGCTACATCTTCTTCCTGAGGCTGGGGCGGAGGCTAGGGTTGGCCTTGTTCATGTTCTTCAGTGGGTTGTCTTGTATTCTAATTCAAGCGGTGGCAGGCACATCCGCAGAATATCTAGGTAAGATGTTTTTAGTTTATAATGATTATAATTAAGATTGTTGGAAAATGGTAGATGACTATCATTAATTATTAAAATTATTATTATTCTTATTGTTATTATTATTATTATT